CTTATTCCTCTCAGCGCGTCTTCTTCCAGAAGCGAAGTAGCCGAGATGAACTTGAGGAAACGTCTCACTGCTTTGTTTGCTGTGATGTGGGCGTTTACATGCACACGTCTCACGTGGACGATTGTAATATCAAAAGAGCGATCGGCGCGTGGGCGTGGTCACATTAGCGATAATGAAGGTGACGGCCAAGACTTGACATCGCGTTGGTTTCATACTGATTACTTTGTCACATAATATTTGTTTCTGTCATGACTTACTTCGTTTAAAAGTAGACATGTCAAGCTTTCTATAGATATATCTCTCATGTGTGTGTGTCAAATATTCGCTGAGTTTCAGTTCATTTTAGTGACGCGTTTCAAACAGATATGCGTGGAGAATCAGACGGCTAAAAGCATACCCTGTTTATTTTCTTTATTTTGCAAAAGCACAATGTTTTGTTGATATTGTGAGTGTACACAAATAAAAGTAGACCCTTTACAGATTTAAATGCTGTATTACTCTTATATGTACGGTCAAGTATGAAGGAGCATTTTAGTTCTTTTCGCGGTCATCATTCAAATCTGCAAAAAGTTCCGCTGGCGGAACTGTCGACCCCAGGGGGTTAACACTGCACTGTAAAAAAAAATAAAACATTCCGTACAATTTACAGTAAAACAATTTACAGCTGTGGTTGCCAGATTTTTACAATAAAAAATATGGTAGCAACATTTTGGGTTTTAAGGATTTAACTTAAATTTTACATTTTAATACCGTAATTTCATTAACTGATATCATGTTAATATACCAACCTATTAAAGTACTGAAATCTACTAAACACTAAACACCATCATGGTAACGCACATGAAACTGAAATAATGCAATAAACATTAATTTAAAAACATTAGATGTAACATACAACCATATGTACACAACTGATAAGAAAAAACAACAACTAAGAAACATAGTTATTTAAAAAAAACAAAAAACAAATTTGAAATGTAACGCAGGGAATTCTGGGAATGTCAATTTACGGTTATTCACTGTAAATTATATGTTCTTTTTCCACTTCCAAAAATGGTATACTACCTTAAAATGACATGTAATGTCCAATACAGTTTTTCACCGTAAATAGTAGGGGAACGTACCGTTAACCATTTAACAGTAATTTACCGTTAAGTTCATGGTCATTTTAGCAGCGTCTTCCTGAGAAATAAGATTGAAATAGGTAGATTTTATAGTAATGTGTATGCTGTAATGTGTACACAAACAACAGAAAGATCAGAAACTGAAGTGACTGGCTTCTTTATAACTGCAGCTGTGACTTGTTAGGAGAAATATCCTCAGGAGAAATTAGGATTTTAGATCACATTTAAATAAACGGCATAAATCACAAATTTAGATATCATCATAAATTTGATTTACTGATGATAAATATAAAAACCTCTTTTTTGTGCATTCAGTTTATTAAAATAGATGAATTTACTTTTTCGGTTTCAATCTTCATAGTC